GCCACTTGACTGTGTGAGATCTTATATGCCTTTTTACTTGAGACACATCAAAGTTTCTTTTCCTGCAGGTCTTGGAGAGTTATGACTTCTCACCTGTGTGGATTCTCATGTGGGTCGTCAGGCTACTTTTACATCTCAAAGCTTTCTCACATGTTGTGCAAGTAAATGGCTTCTCACCTGTGTGGATTGTGTGTGATGTTTGAAATGTCACTCTGATCGTCAGTGTGACAAAAGAAATCCTGTGCTAACAAAGTTATCGTTTTTTATTTTTTATTTTAATAAAATCATTAAGGTTTAATTTTCTAAAGTCAGCTGCTGTAGTGTACCTCCTCTAAATGTGGTCCGGCCAAACTGAGCTCTGGCCAACCTGCATTCTGATGGCAGTGGCTTCTGTGTGCATCTACACCTACAACACGGTGTCTGCAGATATAACCAAGGTAAATTTCAGACTTTTTAAGACCTTTTTAATCCCACCTTATATGGTATTTAAAACCATCTCATGGCTGTCACAAATGCTACTTATTATTGCAATATTCAGAGAAATACAACAAGGAAACAGATTATTTTTCTTCAATCTGTACGATGATTGTAAACTGTCATTGGGTCTGTCAGGCTGGAGAAACTTTCATGGTTGTGACCAAAAATATTTAAGACCCATTGAATCTGAATTTAAGACAATTTAAAACTTTTTAAGGCCTTATATTAAGAAAACTTTAAATCATTTTAAAGGAGCTGTAGACACCCTGACAAAAGATCACAGCAACAGGACAAATCTTCTGGGATCAGTTTATTACTGTGCTCACTGCAAAATCAGTCATACTTTTAATCACACGTTCTGCTCACATTTTCATGGACAATATTTTCAAACTTTTTCATGACTTTTCAAGGACTCATAATGAAGAATTTTCTTTTTCTTTCCCCACTTGCCCGGCGTTTTTCAAACATCAGATTCAAACTCTATGTAAACATAATTGGCACACAGGAAGGGAGAGACAAACTGAGGGAGAACATGACAAAACACACCTGATGGTAAACAAACATTGTCACACATCGACGCATATTAAAGCTACATTAAGACGCCAGCTTCAGAAGATGAATTTGCCATTATGTTACATTATATGGAGGGTTATCCACTGAAGATGATTCTAATAATTTCATTATACACAAACAAGTTCTGTGACTTTTAATGATTTTGACTAATTCCATGACTTTTCCAGGTTTTCCATGACTCTTGCAAGTATAAAATTCATTCAGACTTTAAAGCAGTCTCCTCCTTTTGTTCTTTATCTCACTAGTTTAACTTTTCCAGACCTGCAATTTCAATTAAAATTCAGGATTTGGACTTCACTCCCCACTTTTCTTAGCATGCTTTATGGAACAGGCCTCTGAAAGCTCTGCCACATGTTTTGCATGTAAACAGTCTCTCTCCTGTATATGTGTGACTTCAACTGGAACCTCTGTGCTCAAGTGATGCACCTTTACACCTGTGTGTGTTCTCATGTGGATTGTCAAGTTACTGCTAGATCTGAAATGTCTCCCACATGTTTTGCAAGTATACGGCTTCTCCCCTGAATGAGTCCTCATGTGGACTAACAAGACATCACTACGTCCGAAAGCTCTCCCACAAACTTTACAAGTATACGGCTTCTCCCCTGAATGAGTCCTCATGTGGCCTAACAAGTCAGCATTACGTCTGAAAGCTCTCCCACAAACTTTACAAGTATACGGCTTCTCACCTGTGTGGTTTCTCATGTGGCTAATCAGGCAATGTTTCCCTGTAAAACCTCTCCCACGCGTTTTGCATGTATACAGCTTCTCTCCTGTGTGGACTCTCATGTGCTTTGTCAATGTGGACACATCCCTGAATCTTTTCCCGCAGGTCTTGCAAAGGCATGGCCTCTCACCTGTGTGGATTCTCATGTGGACTTTCAAGTCACCATTACGTCTGAAAGCTCTCCCACATACTTTACAAGTATACGGCTTCTCCCCTGAATGAGTCCTCATGTGGCCTAACAAGACATCATTACGTCCGAAAGCTCTCCCACATACTTTACATGTATACGGTTTCTCACCTGTGTGGATTGTCATGTGCCTTTCCAGTCCTGACTTCTGACTGAATCTTGTCCCGCAGGTCTTGCAAAGGTAGGGCTTTTCACCTGTGTGGGTTCTTATATGAGCGCTCAATGCTGATGTGTCACTGAATCTTTTCCCACATGTTTTGCAAGAAAACGGCTTCTCACCTGTGTGGATTGTCATGTGCCTTTCCAATCCTGACTTCTGACTGAATCTTTTCCCGCATGTTTTGCAAGAAAACGGCTTCTCACCTGTGTGGGTTCTTATATGAGTGCTCAATGCTGATGTGTCACTGTAGCTTTTCCCACATGTTTTGCAAGAATACGGCTTCTCACCTGTGTGGCTGTTCAGGTGTCTCTGCAATTTTGACTTGCGCTCAAAACCTTTCCCACATACGTCACATTTTAAAGGCTTTTTACCTGTATTTAAGTTTATCACAGCAGAGGTGTGTGGACTGTTACTGTTCATTTCACTTTCATGATGTCTTTTCTCTGCTTGAAGCTCTGTGTTTCTAGTTGATCCTGAGTCTCCATGCTGGTATTCTTCCTCATCTTGGCTCTCAGCTACATCAGAGTTGTGACAGAGCAGCTGGTGCTCACTGGTTGGTATCACAGAGCTTATAACTGGTATAATGACAACAGACTCTTTCTCTGCTGCACTTTGAGTGTCATCATGAATGAAGTCCAGAGTCTGATCTTCACTCTGCTCACTTTCCTCATCAGCAGGAGTCAACATGAAGCCATCAGTCTCCTGCTTCACTACAAGCTGCTCTCCCTCCTGACTGCTGCACACTTCCTCCTCTTCCTCTTTAATCTGTGGAGGCTCTGGCTCCTCTTGGTCCACACTGGACTTCCTCTCCTCAATACAGAGCTGCTGCTCAGGGACAACCTCCTCCTCCTTACACACATGTTGCTGTGGGAGCTCTGGAGGGACACACAACAACACCAACAGCATACTAATGTCATGCTACAGCAAATATACACACACCACAGTAAATATGTCCTAATTCAACTTTACACACCTGTCCTGTGTAACTTTATTTCAGGCTTCAAAACGATATCCAACAGTCTGCGCTGACGATCGATCTCTTCCTCGTACTCGACGATGCTTCTTTTAAAAACTCCCAATATTTCTTCAGCAGCAGCAGTTAGTCGCTCGTTGACAAACTCTCTCAAAGACTCAACTGAACACATTGTTGTCTAATGTAGGCTACAGTAAATGTGGCTCGAGGTTTTACTCATAGATTAACCTCCCGAAGTGAACTCAGTCATTTGGGGAACGCGACTGGCGCCTTTTTCTTGCTTACTTCCGCTGGATGTTACGCTTTTGCTTTTTCTTCTTCTTCTTCTTCTTCTTCTTCTTCTTCTTCTTCTTCTTCCCATTTAATGGCGGATTGCAAGCAACGTTCAGGTGCATTACCGCCACCTACTGTACAAGAGTGTGTAGCCTCTTCTTTACACGCTACCCATCAATCTTGACTCCCTCAGAAAGTTGAACAGTGCTTTCCTCACATCTCTCATCTTATCTCCTTCTCCCTCTGTCCCTAATGTTCCAGACAGACTGCTGCTCTCACTCTCCTCTGCAGCCTCTCTCTCTCTGATGCATACTTTACACAGTACATTTTTTATATGTTCCACATTTTCCTTCACACCACATCTCTCACACTTGTCAGTATTTTTTTTTGCCATTACATTCATTATATCATTCAGACCAGTGTGACCGACTCTAAGCCTCATCATGACAGTTTCCTCTCTTCTGTTCCTTTCTTTAAAGATTTTTGTCACGACTGATTTTTGTAGGCCCTATGTTTTAATATTTTCTTTTCTTTGAGATAGTTGTAGTACGTATTTCTCAGGTAATCACTTGTTTTCTCCCCCACTTCATTCACTCTCAGTGCGATTCCCCCATGGACCTTGAAAATAGAATAGACTGGACTGGGCTGTGTGAATTCTAGTGCATCCAATCCATACTTTCTGGCCCATTCATTCCCTGTCCAACCAAACCCACTCCTCTGGAACTTGGAATATTCCCAACAGGGCTATTGGAATATTGGAATATTGGAATATTCCCAACAGTCCTTTCTTACTTGAGCTGCAGGGCTCTTTTCCCTACTTCCTTTAAGCTAATAAAACATCCTCTCTCCGCAACTCTACAGGTATGTCTCCTGCTTCGATTAACAGAGCATTAATGGGAGTTGTTTTCATGGCTCCTGTGCATAAATGTTTTTTATTGTGTGGTTGATGGGCTGTAACTGTTTGTGTGCTACTGTCTTGGCCAGGTCTCCCCTGTAAAAGAGATTGTTAGTCTCAACGGGACTGACCTGGTTAAATATGGGTTAAATAAATAAATAGAATATAGTCACTGGTTTAGACACTGTAAGAAGGTCTCAGCTGCTTTAAGTATGTTGCTCTGTCTCAATGACACACAATAGACTACAACTACAGAGAAGAACAGTGATGCGCTATGATCCACCTCACACACAAACTAGCAAACAAACGTTCACCTGACACAATGAAGCAGCTCTGTATATTCCATTTATTTAGTGTACTGCCACACTGCTGCAGCTGTAAGAGGCCTCAGCTGCTTTTAACAAGCTGCTGCTTCTGACTCCTCCCTGATAGCTGTAAACTACTGTGATTAACTGGATCAATTCCAAACTGAATTTGAAACTCAGTATTTATTGATGCATCATACACTGCCTGGCCAAAAAAAAAGTCGCCACCTGGATTTAACTAAGAAAATAGGTACGAGCCTCCTATTGGATAATTACTGCATGGGCGATTATCTTTCAGCTGGCAACAAGTTATTTAACCCCAACTGGTGCAATGAGTTGCTTCTCATTTCCTAAACAACCATGTCGAAAGACACATCCCGTGGTCGTGGAAAAGATGTTAGTCTGTTTGAGAAGGGTCAAATCATTGGCATGCATCAAGCAGAGAAAACATC